TATTATTATATATAGTAAAACTAGGTTAATTAAGAAGTAACTTTAGCTAGATTTAAACTAATTACCTTCCTATAAGTATATAGGTCTTATAATAAGGCTGCCGATGACGGTAATTACTCCGCTACTAGGGTTCTAGGTACTTAATTACTATCTTATCTAACTAGGTACCTACCGAGTATTGGATAACTATTTACCTAGCCGCACTCACACATGTGCTTTCAGAAGTTAATTCTTGCTATCGCAACCAACTTCAGGGTCAGTTTCTGCGGTCACAATACTTACGACATGGAACGAGCTAACGTGGTATCCCACGATGTATATAGATCACAGCTTCATGTATATTTCGAGGGCTGTCTTGAGTTGAAGGCTTCCACACACACCACCGATGTTCAGCCGCAACCCGGCCCCACTAGTGCGACGTCGCTCGGCGCATACCTAGACTAGATAGCATGCTTGTGCCAACCAACTCCCATTTTCGTTTCCATCTGCGCAATGTCAACCTGTTCTGTTCCAACGTGCAAATGAGCCTTGCTTTGCACCTGCGTACCAACAAAGATGACTGAAAAGCGCGACTCGCCGCCGGCGACCGTGAAAGCAGCCCCAAAGAGACGGCGTATTGATGCCGACGACAGCGTCACAGAAGATGTCTTCTCGTCAGCTGCGATGAATGACACAAGTAATAGCTACCCTGATGAAGTCAGGTTTCCATCAACACAGCATTTCAATGCTCGATGCGGTATTCAACGTTCTATAGCGGTCGTCGCTTCGCACATTGGCTTCGACTTTACTTCCCCCCAGGTGATGGAAAGCTTTACGGGGCTAATAGAAGCTTGTACGTATTCGAGCCTGTATGCGAGGTCACAAAAGAATGATCTTAACCCATCTTACAGATCTGGAATCAATTATTGAGGAGACTAAGAGATTCGCGATTGCGTCGCGGCGTGAGCACCCAATACCTTCTGATTTCCAGAATATGTTGAGGCGCTATAATTTGCCAATATCATCCTTGATGCCACATCTGAAGAACCCCATGTCAATAGACCCTACGCCGAGCTTTGTTCACATCGAAGATGCACGCCAGTCATCCGAGTTCAACCCGCTTCCGTTGCTTGGCTCAGAACTGAGCGGCCAGACGGATAAAGACGCGAAATCTTACATTCCATCGTCGTTTCCTGATTTTCCTAGCAGACACACATACAAATTCACACCACAAGAGGACACAAGATCCCGTGATTCTCAGAAAATCCGCGAGGAAGCCGCATTCAATGCTCAGCAAGGCGAAGATGCCCTGAGGCGTCTAGTCCACGCTTCGAAGATGCGCAAGCAGAAAGAGGCCAAGACCCTTGTGGAGAGGGATAGTCAAGGCAAAGAACGATTCAGATTGTGGGAATCAACCATGAAACGGTTCATGGGGGGCAATTCAAAAGACAGTGCGACAGGTCAGGTGGAAATAGCAGATCACAGTATGATCGTGAATGGAGATGTAGCATTCTCCCGCAAAGACGTGTCTCGCATCGGTCAGCGAGCTGCAGCTGTTCCCGGAAGGGGTTCTTGATGCCCGGATTGAACGAGCCCTGCTTTACATATGGCGCCCGAACGCATCAAGAGCTTCGCACGCACAATACCCTCGTATGATAAGAAATATTTTAGCTTTGCGGTTCTCGTCTTTTTAACTATTACTCTGCTTCATTTGATCAGCGCCCAAGCCAGATTAACGAGCTCTTGGCTCGTTCGTACCGAGCAACAAACCGCGTTGTCACTCGAAACTCCCCTGGCTCGCTGACAACACGCGATAACAACATCAACAATAACAATCATCTTATGAGCAATGGGTGTTTTCTACTCGAGGTAGAAAATTTATACATTCTATCATGAAAAAGCTCAAATTAGTAATTTCTAGCCATGCCAGTATGAACGTTGCGGTCGCCCAGCACCACTGGTCCACTACCTAGGTAGGTAGGTAGGCTGGGAGAGCTTTTAAAACAGCGAGGCGCTATACCAGCTTGAGAAGAGCCGCCTCGCGGTACCAACTCACTCGTCAAAGTGGGGTGCAGTCGTGCGGCCCTAATTTCGAACCCGCACAAAAAAAATCCCAATTTTAGCCGGGGTGCATTCAAGCAGACTTGACCGGCCCATAGGTTTTCACTGAGCAGAAGCTGTCTTCGACTCGAAATTTTTCCATCCTCACTCGTCGAACCCTCCGCATCGACCCTAGGACCGCTCCAATGGCTGAACAATTGATTCTCAAGGGAACCCTCAAGGGCCACGTACGTTTCTTTCTGTTTTGCTATGCCCGCACATGCCTTGGAACTCCCCAGCATGCTACGAAATCAAGGCGTTCCCGTTTCAGAACTTGCTAACGCTCGTACAGAATGGCTGGGTTACCAGCTTGGCCACTTCCCTGGAGAAGTAGGTGTACTCGAATATACGCGACTGCGAACGTATCATCCACATACATTGCAGCCTACTGACAGCTCCTTTAGCCCCAACATGCTTCTCTCTGGATCACGAGACAAGACCCTGATCATCTGGAACCTCACCCGTGATGAGACCGAGTACGGCTATCCTAAGCGATCGCTTCACGGCCACTCCCACATTGTCTCGGACTGTGTATGTTATCGCTACGATTTGTCGAACTGGGCGCTGGACGGGATTGGCTAATTCGGATCAGGTCATCTCCTCGGACGGCGCATACGCCCTGTCTGCCTCTTGGGACAAGACCCTCCGTCTCTGGGAGCTCGCCACCGGCACCACCACTCGCCGCTTCGTTGGCCATACTAACGATGTTCTCTCCGTCTCCTTCTCTGCCGACAACCGTCAGATCGTTTCCGGCTCCCGCGACCGCACCATCAAACTCTGGAACACCCTCGGCGACTGCAAGTACACCATCTCCGAGAAGGGCCACACCGAGTGGGTTTCTTGTGTGCGCTTCAGCCCCAACCCTCAGAACCCCGTCATTGTCTCCAGCGGCTGGGACAAGCTCGTCAAGGTTAGTGATGCCGTGTGTCGTCCGCACTTCCGATATATATCTATATGATGTTTGCAAACTACAAGTATTTGCTACTTCAGAGCCCGAGTGGCCATGAGACTATTAAACACCTTTGCCCTGACCTTGAACTCATCTGCGTTCGCGAATGACAATATGCAATTTGCTCTGCCATTCAAGGTCAAGAGACTGACTCGACTATAGGTTTGGGAGCTCTCTTCCTGCAAGCTGCAGACCGACCACATCGGCCACACCGGATACATCAACACCGTTACCATTTCTCCGGATGGCTCCCTGTGCGCTTCCGGTGGCAAGGACGGCACGACTATGCTATGGGACCTCAACGAGTCCAAGCACCTGTACTCCCTCAATGCCAACAATGAGATCCACGCTCTCGTCTTCTCCCCTAACCGTTACTGGCTCTGCGCTGCCACGTCCACCAGCATCATCATCTTCGACCTCGAGAAGAAGAGCAAGGTGGATGAGCTCAAGCCCGACTTCACTGAGACCGAAACTGGCAAGAAAAGCAATGACCCCGAGTGCGTCAGCCTTGCCTGGTCCGCTGACGGCCAGACTTTGTTCGCTGGCTACACCGACAACATCATTCGCGCCTGGGGCGTCATGTCCCGGGCATAAATGGTTCCCAGTGATGTTTTAACGACGAGTATGTGAGGTCAAGTGGCAAATCGGTAGATCATGGTGGGCGTCCAATGGTTGTGTTCCTCGTTTTTGTCTTTATCGATGCACAGAAAATGGTCGGCGAGGGAAACAATGTGGCGAGGCATAACACCTTGTCCGCTGTAAGCAGTCTGTAAAGAAGGCATTGCACATTAAGCTTCCTTCTTGAAATAAAAAAACGATATACAAAATGGTTCATTCTTTCTGCATCGTGGAGTACCAGCGAATCGAAAATTTAATGGGTACTCGCGCATTCGACAGTTGCTTCTAATCTACCTATTTAGCGAGGTCTAAAGCACAAGTTGTCAACTATGTCTGACTACTACCTGATTGAATCAGCAGTCGAGTTCGCTCTGCACACTACCTAGCGTTCTGTAGGGTACACACTACATGAGTGGATGACAGAAAGAAACCAGCGGGTGGTTACCTATGACGATGAAACGACTTCTATGGGATTGGTCTTCGCTAGAAGCTCGCCCCCTACATCTCAAAGCCTGTTCCTTCACCGAACCTACATGAAAGGGGGAAGAGAGAACGGGTAGCCCACATTCTTGAAGCGAAAGACGCTCAACAGAAAGCTGTACATGAGGAACAAAACTGCGCCCCATATAAGAACTGTCACTTGCTGGGTCTTGGCATCAGTCATGCGCGGCACCTTGATTGCGAGAGTGATCGTGCAAAAAGAAAGGAGTCCGTCTGCGGCATGTATTAGCGCGAGGGAAACAGTAACGTTCCTGATCCATCGACTTACAGATAGCAGCAACGATTTGCGTCTCAAGGCCGAATTGGTTCTGGAAACCACCAGCAAAGTATGATATACTGCCCTTGCCGTCTCCCGCAATGTATGGGACCTTGCGAATATGATTGAACATGTGACCGCTTGTAAAGAGTAGGACAGACACTAGGCTAATGGATGCCCAGATGTTGCGGTTTTGGATGATGGGTAGAATATATGGCGAGGCAGTAGCCAATGCGGTTCCAACCCCCAGGAAGATCGTAATTCCAGTCGCCCAGCGCATGTAATTGATGGGTCGCTTTACCGCAGGCGTCGGTCGGCCGGTCATGTGTCGCGAAAGCCAGGCATGAATGTTCTCAGCTCCAGCGGCGCTATAATTTGTTAGAGATAGAACGACGCAATCCATGATAGACAACTTGCCCCGTCGTGAAATCGTATCGAATTGGCTCAGGCGAAGACGCAGCGTAAGGGCCTTCTGTAGGAGGAAACAGCATCACTACGGGTGCAGTTTGCAGGCCGAGCTTAACTTTGATAAGTTACATGAAAGAGCGGGTAATCACATCCACGACTCACCGAAGCAAAAACATCTTTGCCATTCTCAAAATCCAAGGAACCAAATAAAAGTCTAGACTCTCCGGTCTTGTCTCCCTTGTGCCAGCTTTTGGCCAACAAGTCCCATTCCGGCTGAAATTCACGGCAGAGCTGGCAGCCAAATCGTGCATCGAGAGCCGTGAGAAGAACAGCCGCGCTGTAGTTGCGAGGGTACGACGTCAATGACTTGTAAGCGGTCTCTTTCAACTGGAGAGAAGGAGAGCTCTTCGACAGCTGATGAAATTCATTGAATCGTTGCTCAGAAGACTTTTTCTCGGCGGATAAAACTCCTAATAAAAGACATGCACCTATTAAGGGCGACGAGAGACGCATAATTGCTGAAGTTGGTCTGATAATCTGGTCTTCCCAGCTCTTCGTAGAGAAGTTGAAGCTCTCGAAGTGGTGAGGTGGCCTTGCTCGCCTGCTTACCTAAGGGAACGTCCAAAAGACGTGCATTCGTTACATAGGTATGACCCACGAATGGGCTAGTCCAAATGGAGCAGCATGTTTATTTTAGCACAGAACGCGCATTGATCTTATTCGAGCACAAACACGTACATACCTGAAGCCTTCTCTTCTCGTTTCTTCCTGCAACCTTACTTTACTTTGTATTGCTAGCTGAAGCACACTACCCGACTTGTTGTCTGAGCCTGAGCATCCGCAAAGTCAGACGCACGCGTTTGAGAAAAACACGGAGCAACATGGCCACGGCCACAAGTGAGGTAACTAGCCGAAGATCGATCGAGACTCACAAATCTAACATTTTACAAAGCGCCTGATGCGCATTCATCAGCTAGATCATATCTATCGCGAAGGGTTGCACCACGCCGAGCTGATCAACCGTAACGAATCAGAACGGAGATTCTCACTGAAAGTGCTCGCTCTGCGTGATGCGAACGCTGCCCTGGAGCATCTAGTATCCGAAAAGGAGCTTCATATATTATATCTTGAGAAGACTTTACAGAAAATGAAGTTGGATTTATCAGAGACCAAGCAGCGATCCTCTCAACTAGAATCCGGGCTACACAATCAGCGAAGTGAAATTCGATTTCTCAAGGTAAGGCAAGAGTTGGACGCGCTTTTGAACCGTTCTAATGCACTGTAGGCCAACATAGAGAATATGAACAGTTCTGTGAAGATGTCCGCCGGCGCACTGCATGACAACGTGACTCTGACTCGTGAACTGGACAGCCTTCGCCAGGAATTGGAGCAGCTCAAGCTGCAGCTCGCCTCGCACGAAGCTACAGTTGCCTCGAATGGAGAGCTGCGGCGTCGAATCAACTCATTGGAGGTCGATTTAGAGAACGAAATGCGCTCTAAACTCCGTGCTCAACAAATGGACGACAAAGGTGTCATCTCAGATCTCCGCTCTAAGTTGCAGAAGTGCGAAAATAAGCTCAATACAGAAAAGGAAGAAAATGAAAACCTGAAGCAAGAGCTTACGGACTCTCGCAGAGAAACAGAGCATCAACAGGAGCATTTGACCATTATGAGATTGAAACACAAAGAATTGCAAAGCACATTGAAAGATGCGCAAGCGGATCTGCAACAGAGTCAGTGCGAGTTGTCCAAGGCCCGAGAAACATCTACCGATCTTACCAAAGAGCCTCACACAAAAGCACCAAAGGTCAGGCTCCCACGAGTCATAATGGAGCCCCCAATCTCCACGGTCGAGACGTGCTTGGATGACATGGACATTCAGACGCCTGGAAATGAGAGCATATCGGACCTCAGGCAGCACCGACGAAGGGCACCAGAGCACGCCCGGCTCGGCGAAAAATCAAAGTTCTCGATAACTCCATTCCTCAACAAGACCAAAGACGCCACAGAGTACCCGGGTCTTGATTCGGACAAATCGGCTTCTGATGTCGACTCGGAGGCCAGTCCGGAGCAACCGCACGCAAGAAGAAGAGGGCCTTCACGAACTATGACTACGGTCAAGGCTCGGAGACCCATGACAAGCTCTCGGAAACCATCGACGTCTTCAAGGCAAAATACTGCTAAGACTGAAGCCATCTTGAGTAAACCGGTATTGAATGGCCCGAATTCACCGGCGAGATACGATACGAAGAAGCGAGCACAGCTACGAAAAACTACAAATGCAGTTCAGACCAATAGCGATGAGGAGAACTCGGGTCCAGACACTGCATCTCAAAAGTCAGAACCGAAACCCATTGCGTCTGTTACAAGGGGAGTTGATGAGCCAAAAGCCACAGAACCAGAGGCAGACGGACGCAAGAAAAAGCGTAAGTTGTTAGGTGGGGGAGGTAAAACCATTTTCGACGATGATGAAGTGGGAAGCAATGACAGGCACGGCAATCTACTGAGGGTCGTGTCAGCCAAAAGGGGCCGAGCGCAACTTGACAGCGTTGCGAATGCCTTCGCTTGTCTTGGCAGCACATTTTCCCCGTTGAAGAGAGAAAGAAGAGGCGCTAACGCAAGTTTGATTGGGTGATGATGGTCCGGTCTAAAGGGCTCGCTTGCAAAGCACAGCGTTGCGCAGGCATGGGCGTTTGTCGTGGCGTGGTATGAACAAAAATTTGCCTCTTCTGATGGCTTGAATATAACTATACTCATCTGCTGAAATGTCTGTGGGCGCCTGTTGTACTCAGTAGTAAGATGTAATGTGGGTATTGCTAGGTACCCAGTCGCCGTCGCCGGTGGCATGTTCATGAACATTGACTAAAATCTACCCGGGTACCTATTTTACAACTGTAACGCGTACAGCTCTATCTATCCCTTTGACAGTGGAGGAGGAGGTTTGAAGTACTCGCCCCACTGCTTCCCACTACCTATGAGTACTCAAATTAGGCGTGGCGGGAGCATATTCGCTAAGGTAGTCCCTAGTAGCCCCCTGCGCCATAGGTACTCAGCCACCGAGGCACTGTCTAACGCGAATAGAAGTACCTGGTATTTCTGCGATGCTGTGACTGGCCAGGAACCCTGAAAAATACGACCCACCTCCTCCTCCACTGTCAAAGGGATAGCGGAATAATCGTTGCTAGCTTCTGCACGTGTTAGATACCATGACAGCCTTACTAAATTAACAGCAAGAGGACATTTCTTACGTGGCAGTGCATTTAAGCTCTGTTCAGAACCCCCCCCCTCCTCCCTTCGCGCGTACCTACCTAGTAGGTAACTTACTGGTACCTAGGTACCTGGTGCCGCAGCGGGTTACTACCTAAGTAGCGGACCTCGGGAGCGTTAGCCTGGTGGTGCCTGGCAACCTGGGTACAGCTTTTAGGAGGTTGTCAGGGTGAAAACTTGACAGTCACACATGAGCAGTCCTGGAAGTTAATGCTACCGATATCACTATGAAACCAGCGCAGAGATCGACTTTATGTATTACTGCGCTGAACCGACCTTCATTGAAGCAATGCTCAGCTATCTTTATTCGCTTTTCATCATCCAACTCTCGATGGAAGCAACGGCAGAGTAAGGATGCCTACGCACGCGAGGCAAAAGTCCAGGGTCTCAAAAGCCGGGCCGCGTTCAAGCTTCTTGAGGTAGACATGTGTGATCATCATTTCAGAAATTCAATCTTATTTATTGACTAGATGGACGCGAAATATCGCCTCTTCAAACCCAAAAGCGTTGTTGTAGACTTGGTAAGCAAATTGAACGTGGTTATCTAGCAATTGACTAAATCTCGAGAAGGGTTATGCACCAGGGAGTTGGTCTCAAGTAGGTTCCTCGAGTTCAGCGAAATTCCAAGATCCTGACTGAAAAGGTTGCTTTGGATCGGACCCGGCCTGGCGGCAAGGTCATTGGTATCGATCTCATCCCAGCCGAACCTCCAAAAGGTGTCGCGACCTTTCAGGGAGATTTTCTCTCACCAGATGTACAGAGAATGGTGAAAGACTTCATACATCAGACGGTTCGATTGTCCTCCAGACAAGACAAAGTTCAAGAAAGCATCCCCGCCTCAAACCACCAACCTAGCTATATTGATGTTGGACTACAGGCGCCTGCAGCTGTGGCAAACCCCAGCAAAGCGCCGATGGTAGATGTAAGTCGAGCGATGTCAAGAAGAGGCAGACGTTCGAATCTTACAGTTCTGCAGGTTGTATTAAGTGACATGTCAGCACCTTGGGAACAAACAAATGGCTTCAATGTGAACAGCTTAAGTAACCCGTACCACAGGCTGATGAACACGAGCGGCGTGCCGTTTCGCGACCACGCCGGTAGTATGGTGAGCCCATGTCTCGATTGCTCTTGCAAACAATGTTTCGAACTAATGTGTGTGGCCTTTGCTGGTCAGGACCTTTGCAACGCAGCATTACTTTTCGCAGAACAAACGCTCAAAGCTGGCGGTCATTTTGTGTGCAAATTCTATCAGGGCTCGGAGGACAATTTGTTAGAGCAAAGGCTCAGGAACATGTTTTCCAAAGTGTATAGGGAAAAGCCAGAATCATCCCGGAATGCAGGTGCTCATTCGTCACTCGAAGAGACTCAGGCTGACATTTTGACAGGAAAGCAAAGAGGCATTTTTTGTCGGTTTACGACGCAAAGCATCAGCAAGTGGTTAGAAAAATATCACGGCAGCATTTAGCCTATTGATGATGTCAAGCAAACACGGTGGAAAATAAACGGATTCGTCGTATGATTTGTTCATAATATTCTTTTTATCTGATACCGAAGCACGTCAATTCCATGCAAAGTACATCGGCAAGGCGAATTTTTCAGCATTAGTCGCCCATCCAGCGCCACACACCAAATCCCGACTAGTTTTCCGCCTTCTCTTGGCTCTCGGCTTAGACCTTGAAACCGCGAGAGCGTCTTCGGCCACGAGCACGCTCGAACTTGCGACCCTTGGAGACAACATGAGGCTTCTAAAGAATGAATTAGCGTCCGCCAAGTCATGAGCCACACATGGTTTTGCAGACGTACCTTGCCCTTGTGGGGGCCAAAGCCAAAGTGCTTAACAGCCTCGCGGCTGTTCTTGGGGCCACGCAGGATCAGAGTGTTGCTGCCAGTGGGGGCGCGGAGGGCAAGCTGGTCAAGAGTGATGGCCTCACCACCGGCAGCCACAATGCGGGCGCGGGCGGTAGCGGTGAAGCGGAGAGCGGCGACGGTCACCTTGGGGACGGTGAGCAGGCGGTTGTCATCAGTGATGGTGCCGACAACAACGACAGTGCGCTTCTCGCCCTCCTTGTTGATGTTGGCAACGATCCTGGACAGAGAGACAGGGGGTCGGTTGATCTTGGACATAAAAAGGCGCCGAAGAACAACCTTGTTGAAGGAAGAGTCGGTACGACCTGAGTTCAGTTAATCTTCGTGTGATCGTCGCGATTCGGGGCAAGGACGTACGGGCAAGAAAGCGGTAGAGCTTTACCAAGAGCTTAAGATAGACATTGTCGCTCTTGGGCGCCTTGCGGTGCGTTGACTTGACGTGGTGGCGGTCGAGATCGATACCTATAGGATGAAGCAATCGTCAGCCCAAAATCTTTTGCATGCTCATACGGGTTCTCAGTCTTCCAAGGAAGAGGAACGCCTTGCCGCAGAAAAGAATCCCGGAGGATTCCTTTCCACTCGCACACGGAGGCTGTGATTTAATGCTTCACGTACCCATTGTGTCGTTTGTGATTTGTAAAGTTAATAGGAAAGTCCCCCAGTTGCGATGGTTGGCGGCAGCTGGTTTCGATGAACCCCAATCCTCGACTTTCCAGGGTGGGCCCAAAATCTTTCGCGTGGGAACGGTTGTGGGCGGTGTAAAACGGCAGTTAGGGCAAGTTGCCGACGGTTGGTGATTAAGCAGCTAGTTATTTTCATTGTACCTTTTATGGGACGTCCGGCCTCCCTCAACTCTCGCCTTATCATTAGGAAGAGAAAATCAAGGATAACTTGTTATTGGTTAGTCGTAAAGCTTCATTACCTGCTTGACAAGGTGCAAGAAGAGACAGGAATGCGTGTGACGACGGCAGGCCGGGAAGTTCGTCCCATCGTGCAAAATTCAATCTACTACATGTCATGAACCACCATATGACACTTACAAATGTTCATTTGATACGCTTCATTGATTTCTCTATGTTATCGTACTTTCGTGTCTTGGCTATATTCAAGTGCCCATGCGACCCATCACCACTGCAATCTATATATGTTTCTATGCCCAACCTTCGATACATTCTCTCTCAGGTTGCAAATGAACGCTGAGGCACAACTCTGATAAAGAACAAGATGAAAAATAGCCGCAAGAATCTTTCACCACTTTAATTTAATACACGCGCTATTGAGACATCTCACTTGCTTCCGGGCTGAGACTTGCGACAAAGTCGCGAGTGAGTTCGAAGCTCAGCCAACTGGACGCCATGCTTGGTGCAACTTTTAGCAGGTTAGGTGCGATACCCTTGTAAAGTCCCTTGACTCCTTCCTGAGCCACGATGACTCTTACTGCGTCAGTGAGCGACTTGTACTTGTAGCCCATTCCAGACATGGTGTTGATCTGAAATCGCCGGCGCAGAACGTCGCTAAATGAGCAGATTAGCCTTATCGTCACATGATGACTTCGTACCAACATGAATAATTGATCATGGCTTACAATGGATACGTGCAAGTCTGGGCAACAGCTCCAGAGATGGCGCCAGCAAGTAGCTTACGGGCCGCACTGGGGTTCTTGTCACCTTCCGGCGTCAGGTAATTTCTGACAGATTCGTAAACCATGAAGTTGAGCCCGACCTGGAGTACGTTAGTTTTACCGAGAACTTGCATCGTCGCGGTATACGCACATATGGTGCCACCCCAGCCACAGTCGGGATAATCCCACGATAAAGTGCCGGAACACCGCCTTCGCTTCTGTACATGGTAGCCATCGTCGACCACATGCCAGGCAGCTGTTGTGGTCGGTTACCCAACTCGGCAAAGCTTGCTGATTGAATGGACAGACGGGTTCTAACAATGTCCAGAGGATATGTAAGAAAAACGGACGTTATGCCAGCACTTCCGCCACACACTAGACGAGTGATGGCGGTCAGCTCAGCTCCAGGTGTTGCTTCGAATATATGCTAGTTCACCGTGTTAGTCAATTGCTTTGAAGGTGTGTGCTCTTGCCATGCATACTCGTTTGTAGAAGTTGTAGCTGCTGAATTGTACAGCAGAGTAGGGCACGATACGGATGCAATTCGTTCCATTCCCTCTCATGAACCCTCTCCATCCCTCTTCGCGCCACATTTTAGCCAGTGCTTGGCTCACTGACATTTTGTATGCATCTCGTCCAACGCTCTGTACCTGCATTAGGATTTTGAGGCGCTCGAGAGGAGAAACCACAGTTCTCGAGACTGCGCCAGCAACACCGCCTCCGCAGAACGCGGCAACGACCGGTTGGGAAAGCCATTCGCGAATGCCTCGAAATTGGGCGTCGGCCGAATCTGGGCGCTTTGTCGCGTCAGAGAGAGGCTTGTGGCTGTCAGTAAATGGTGCCGCCTTGAGAAGAGACCAACTCCTGTCAATTGAGTACGTACTGTCGACATTTTGGCGGATAATTGGATCAATTCAAATCAAGTGTATCCACGAAAATTTTGAGCGCATTTGAACGCCTTTATTCGATATGCGCCGACGTTTTCCAGCTGTCACAGTCTGTCTTGCGATTCGTCTATCCGGCATGCATTCACTTTTTGGATCGTATTCGCCTCAAACTCTTATACCAAAGCGTGCTCGCCTGTTTTGTCGGCTGTCCTACTCCAAATCTCGCGCAGGGCCACTGGTTGTCGTCACGGCCAGGACCCTGGGCCAGCACGTCGTCTTCCCCTGGCCCGTCAGACAAGCAGCCGTGCACAAGTCAGTAACAGGACGCTGTTGAGTATCGTCGATATGCGACCGAATGCGGCTTGTCGTCAAAGTTTTGGTCGTTCCTGTAGAGTCACGCTGGAGGAACTGACCGAGTTAAGCCGGTAGGGATAACGCCTGTTTTCCTGCATCGGTCAGAGTCAGTTCCTCGGGTTATTATCGGCCATGACACTAGGTAGGTAGGTAGGTAGGCACGTAGGTAGGTAGGTAGGCACGAAGTAGCCGGGTAGCGCAGTTGGGGTTGGGGCCACCCTCCACATTTCTGTTCAACGCAATTCAACGTCAGCATTATTACCTAGGGAGGTAGCAGATAGGTAAAATAACGTTGATTCCAGTAGCTCCTCTTTCAATTTGAGAAAAGTATAACAACAGAACTGATTATTTCAACACATCTAACTACAAATGCAACAGAGTCTTACATTTCGACCTATGTAATCAGGTCCCGCGGAGCCGATTAAAAGCATGAGCAGCAAAGGGTTTCTGGCAATTGGCAGACTCAACGTCCATGGACAGCCAGGTTTCTACGTAATACATGTTTTTTTTTCTCTAATGCAGAAACGCGCCGTTGAGTACATCACTCGACTGCTCGCGAAGTAAAACACACAGCATCTGGGGAATACTTAACCAGGCGTCTCCAGGGCTTAACGCTAGCGGCTAAACCAGTCACTCGGCCACATCAAGATCCTCGGGTGCTGGGGGAGGACTCTCAACCGCTAATTAGGTCAGTCCGACTGTAATTCAAGAATTCTTGATTAGCACTTACGCTTCCTCTCGTCTCCATTGGTACCGTTTTCTCTTCTGTCGCGGTCATCGCGATCGTCACGATCGTCGCGGTCATCGCGGTCGTCTTTGGCATCACGGTCACGGTCCCTGCAACTTCTTGTTAGTCACCTTCCACCGCTAAGGAGATGCTATCCCCACTGACCGGTTATCAGGGCTGCGCGATCTGTCGCGGTCTCTGCGGCTTTCGCGGTCGTAGTCACGGTCCCGATCGCGGCGGTCTTCCTTTCGAGGAGAGTAGTCTCGAGTGCTTCGTCTGGGCGATGGAGATCTACCACGTCGGGGGGAACGAGCAGGGCGACGATCGCGATCGCGTCCGGACTCGAAGCGCCAGGAGGCCGATGGGGGGGTTCTCGCCCACTGCAACAGTTAACATTCGCAACTCAATGTTAGTGTTCGAGTCTGGCAATACCTCAATCTTCAAAATGTCATCGCGACCGATGCGCTTGTTGTGCATCTCATGGTAGGCGTCATCAGAATCACGGCGATCCTCATACTCGACGAAAGCAAAGCTATCGACGGTTAGAACATGGAAACGGATAATCCCGATGTAGAACTCACAGTCTGCTTGACGTGGAACGCGGTGCAGGAATATCGCATCGAACAAGGCGCCCGTAGCTGTTCAAATATACTATTAGTATTTGCTTGTCGGAATCGGAAAGGATCCTGAGAAGCCCTTTCAACTCAACGAGCTCAAGTACTAGCGCGTTCCGTTGCAGAAGTATCATGGATGGAGACCTCTCAGCATGTTGGAAGGCCAATGCACCGAGGGTGCACAGTAATGACCAAGGCAAGTGGGTAGTCGGGAGCTAGATCGCGAGGGCATCGCGAGGGGACGAAAAGTGCGAGGACGGCGGCGACGCGGGTAGAGGGTCGCTTGTGCAAAGCGATCGATTGTTCGAGGGCATATCTCATATCCGACGGGGAGAGGAGCGCGTGCATGGGTGCGGGCGAGGGCGGCGTGGGCGAGGACGAGGGCGAGGACGTGAGCGTGGTTGACATACCGTTCGAACTCGTAGGCGAGGTCGCGAGCGCGGGTGCCGTGGCTAAAACCAGTCACATACAAGGTGTTACCGCCGCGAGACATGATTGGATGTTGGATGCAACTTCTCTTGAAAGAGCTAACGGCGAATGATGCAGGCGGATGAACGAAGAACTCGGAAACTTGTTTGCCCTGAGCATGCGACAAAGTTGACTAGAAAGATTTGGAACTGCAGATAATATGTGGGTCTATTATATAATCGTTGCTGAACGATCGCAACGTCATAGTAGCTACACTCAATGCGGAGCGCCCATGCCAGCATGATAACAGACAAGCAAGTGGCTCAGCATAGACAGCAAGCCTAAATTCGCTGCTTGCGAGTCAACGTTTCTGCTTCTTCCCATTCAGATTCCCACGCGGTCTATTTTCATTGAATCAATTTCCCAGGATTGTCGCTGAGCTTATGCACGCAGGCCGGGCATCCATCAGCACCATCGGCGCCAGCGATACTCATGTAAAGATCTCGCCTTGCTTCAATCATTTGCAGCCCTGTGATCTTCACAAAAACCATACGACTTCAACAAAGCGTTTCACGAGAGCGGTTCTTGAAGCAATTCCAACCCCTAGAGAGTCGGTCTCGCTTCAGTCGTCGGCTGTGACTTGGGTAGCTGTTGAGAGCAACAGTGAAAAAAGAAATAATGCTGAGGTCAAAAGCGGACAATAATTCGCAACATCTGCGTTCAGGAGACCCGAATGTACACCCAAGTGACGATAATGAAAGCTATATGGAGCACTCCTTCAATTCAACATCGCATGGGGTCAAATATTTGGAGTCGGAGACACAAAGTGAGGAAGATTATGATGAAAACTTTCGGCCAAAGATCATATCCGCGCTTGGGTCTCAAGTGCAGCGCAGGAAAAAACACAAGGAACGTCTAGGTGGACTACAGAATTCTTCAACACCGCATTCCACTGCTCGGGGTGACACTCGGGGTGACGATGTCGTCAAACTTGATTCTCGGTCTCATTTCGAGAGTAATCCCAGCAATCCACATCAGCTACTACCGAGACAGCGACAAAAAATCAAGGCTTTTATCTTCTCACGCCAAGTATCAACATTCGACGCTCAAAGTGAAGCAGCCGTGAATAGCCCCTTTCACGGGTTTTACAATCTTTTTTGGCTCTCAGTCGCGCTTCTGATTTGCAGGATTTCTGCAAATAACTGGCGAACCTACGGAAATCTTCTAGGCCCCAGCGATATTTTGAAGACGATGTTTCGTAGAGACGGTTCGTGCAAATCAGATGAAGCTGGCTAATCTGTACTAATCTTCTTCAGTCGTTGTCTTGCTGCTCTCTGATGGAATCATGTGCGGCTTGACAGCAGCCACTTGGCTGCTGCAAAAGCTTGTCCTGGCCAAAATGATAAATTGGGACCGAGAGGGTTGGATAATGCAGCATGTAAGATTTCAGTCCTCCACCACGCTTTGACTAACGAGCTTCAGTTATGGCAAACAAGTTTCATCGCTGGAACTGTAAAGTGGACGGTTTATCGAGACTGGCCATGGACACACACGGTGTTCTTTGTTTTGCATGCTCTTGTTATGCTCATGAAGCAGCATTCATATGCGTTCTATAATGGCCACCTATCAGCTGCATATCACAGACGACAATTGCTTGTCGGCAAGCTTAAAAAGTTAGACTTTATTGGTCGCACAGGAGATTCGACTACTGACTCATCACTGTTCAGATTATCGATCACGCACTTGAGCACCTCCTTACCTACTAAACGGCACTCCAATGACATGTCGCCAGATCTCAATTTCTTTCCCACTGACGTGGATAACATGATCAACGTCATCGATACTTCCCAAACTCTGTGTCGAGAGCAAGTGTCTCAGTTTGAAAGTGCTATCATTGACGAGCTTGCTTCTCTGGCGGACGAACTACAAGGGACCGCGAGCGACCCCTCGAGAGCATATCCACATAATCTTACTTTCATTGGCCACTATCAATGGCTTCCGCTACCTACAGTTGTCTATGAGCTCGAATATCCGCGACTCAACAAGATCAAATGGAGTTATGTGGCCGAAAAAGTCGCCGCGATGATTGGAATTATATTTGTGATGATCCAAGTTTCCCAGTACTACATATGTACGCTCAAGCCCGAACGTAGTCAAGCACCTAGGACCTCGGCCGCTAATGCTTAGTTCCTAGACCCTGTTGTGCTGGTGACAATTGAGATGAGAGAGAACGGCATGCCTTTGATCGCAAGATTCAGAGAGTTCCCGTGGTTGCTTGGTGATTTGCTCTTTCCCTTCATGATGGAGTATCTGGTACGACCTCGCCCCTGTTTTCTCGTTCCGCTTTGACTAAAAATTCAGCTTACATGGTATCTGATATGGGAGACGGTTCTCAATATTCTGGCCGAGTTGACCTACTTTGCAGACCGGCACTTTTATGACGCTTGGTGGAACAGTGGTAAGCAACATCTTCGTGTTGGTCGTCCTGAAGCCTTTGACTTACTTCACTTCCAGTATCCTGGGATCAATTTGCACGAGACTGGAATCGACCAGTGCACATATTCCTTCTCCGCCATGTTTACCACAGTTCTATCTCGTCCCTAAAGGTCAACAAGCACGCAGCGACCATCATCACCTTTTTCCTTTCCGCATGTGCGCATGAATTCATCATGTGGTGCATCTTCAAAAAACTGCGTGGGTATTTGCTTATCTTACAGATGTGTCAATTGCCGGTATGTAGAGAGTCCGAATGTCATTTGTCTATGCTGGAGGAATCACTAATTGTGCACAGCTCGTTCGCTTGAGTCAAACGAGCTGGATGAGAGATCGTAAAACACTGGGTAATCTCATCTTTTGGCTCGGTATTTATACTGGACCGAGCGTATTGTGCAGTTTGTATCTTATTCTCTGATGGAGATTGCAAGCTCCCGAGTGCGTGTCATAATTCCTCAAATTGACAACTGTACTTTTTTTCAGTGAAATTCCATCGATAGCTTCGAACTCGACTCCTTTTCGTGGTAGAATAAATACTATGTCGCTCTTCCTGGGCTAAACTGTCTTCAAAGCATGCGTTGCTTGAATTGGCCGTGCTCTTACATCTTCTCGTGCGTGGCCATGAGAGAGCCTATGTAGTTTGACGTTAGTTTTGAGCCTCGGTGTAGGACCTTGGTGTGCATACCAATGAAAGTTGTTACAAGACGGCTTCTGACTTGGCAGATGTCTTCCGGCACAAGCCAAATCGTGGCTCCCAGCTTTCTAGCAATGCTGATGCTGAGTTTAGCGTTCATGTATGCATCCTCATCCGTCTGCCCAGCAGTCACCAAGTCGAAGTCAACGTAGCTGCTCTTGATACCGTTCAAAACATCGAGCAGGAATACGCCGGTAGCGATAGTGGGGTCCTTGAATGATCTGATGGCAGAGTTGCGTCCACCTCTCTTGGACATATCATTCGCCCAGCGAACCATCTCGGCGTCAGTAATTTCTCGTTTGCCAAGTTTCTCGGCAAGAGAGGAAAGAGTCACTGTAATGTTCTTTCGCATCAGCTGCCAGACCAAACCGAGGGTCAGGGTCCTTTGTCCGTCAGTAATATCAGCACCCTGAATGCCAACCAAGGAAAATCCAATTTGCTTGCCAAGATCAATGGCGTAGTTGGTATTCTCTACAGCTTTGAATCGAATCAGTTCGCCTCCATGAGCCGGAGGTTTATTAACATGGCGCCAGTTAACTGAACCATGAATAACCTTGTCATACGCTTGTAGCAAAATGTTGCCATCGCGTAGATCGTCGAAGAATGACACCACTGGCGGCTGGACATCCAAGCTGTTAAGCCACAAAGTGAATACTCTTGCCTCTCTTTCTCCTTCTGCATCGAAATCCTCGACTTGGAGTTTCTCTTCCTCCGTGATGGGATCCAGGGCGGGGTGGTTGTTGAATAAATTGGCAACGAAGGCCAGATTCAGCTTCGGATTACCGGCCACTAGGGAGGTAGGAGTGAGAAACTTTCGGCATTGGAGCTTTTCGGCCTCCTGTAAAACTTCTTCGGCTCTTTGTAGCAAATCTCTCGTCTGTAGTGGTGCTCTAGTGCAGCCATGTTCGCCTCCGATCTGGGCGAGCAAGACAGCATAGTTCTCACCATCCTTGACGTCGGTGGAAAAATTTGAAACTCTTCAGAACAGCATTAGTTTGTGGTGGGTCATTCGCTTCAGTGCTACGAACCTTCGAGACCAGTTGGCTGCCTTGAGATGATAGTTAAACCATCGCAGAAGAATCTGCTCGGGAGGGAGACGGAGAAATTGTTCCAGAGTTTCGTCTTCTTCCAGAAGGCGGTAGAGCTCAGGATGCAGCTTGATGTCAATTTTTCCGAGAAGGCCACGACGAATGATTTGCCAAATCAAACCCAGGATGAGATGCTCTCGCACTTCGATGATGTCACCAGCACCAATATTGACAACGGAACAGCCAATGCCCTTGCAAGACTCAATCACGATGTTGTTGTTCTCGCTCATTTGAAATGCGTTGAGATTTTTCGTCTTTTTACCGGGCATGTTCAGAACACGCTCATCTATGGTATCCGGTACACTGTCGTTGATGAGTTTGGCGAGGACCAGTCCATCTTTGCAATCATCAAACATTTCGAAGGTATCGGTGGGGAAGGGTAGGCGACTGCCAATATCTGCATCACCTGCGAGAACGGCGTTGATATGGCGAGTGAACTCTGTACGTTCATCTTCGTTAATCGTGTGCGTTATGTTCGCACTGGACCCCTGCACTTGGATCTTGCCGCTGACACTGCCCTTGGAAGCATGTCCTCCGGTTCGCTGAGTTACCACACCACTTGAAGGAGCGGCTGGCCCAGCAGACATACGCTTTTGGGCAGGAGACGAGTCACGAAGCTTTGAGACGAGCTAAATGCGCAATAATCAGATGGAGCGCTCTCACGAGGCACTTGTCGCAACTCACCCCGACATAATCTTCGAGCTCAACGCGTCTCGAAGAATCCAGCTCGACTTCCTTGAGTGCCTGTCGTACGACATCGTATGGCAGATTTTCACTTTGCTGGGTAGCTTTGATGGCCGTTGCTTCGTCTAAATATCCTCGGTCGTCTACATCAAGTCGCTGAAAAGCATCTGACAGCGAGAAAATCTCATTCTGCTGAAACTGGGGGAATTTCCTGCGGAACACGTATTAGCTTGAATTCAGGTCTCTACGCTCGGCTTCTATACTTTTGAAGTTTAAGAACATTCATTTCGGCCTGATTATTCGACGTCTTCGTGGTTGTTGGTCGTCGTCGTGTTGTGCTTGTCGGCGCAAATACCCCGCGGGAGAGCCCTCGTCTCCGGAGCTTACGGATCGTACGTTCTAGCAAAACTGTTCTGTTAAAAATCCCTCCATTATCTGTTTTTTTTTTTTGATCACGCACAGTTTTCTCTGTTTGGTGAAATCGTCGCACTGCAGCTGGCACTTTGGCTGCAAGTCAACGTCGTTTGATGTTCAATGAGAGAGTTTGCGACAGGAGGGGAGAGTTGTGGCGGGGCAGAAAGTGATGTAATTGCTGGTGGGGCGGTATACAGTGCCCCTACTTGCCCTATAACGTAAGTCATTCCAAGTGGCCATTCCCAATGTAGGTAATATTGGGATTCTCACATTAGACCCACTCAAGGGGGGGACAAAAAAAACCGGCCCTCATCGATTCTCGATACTGTCTTATCAATCATAAATACACATGAAAGTAAGTAAAATAATAATTTTAGAATATAAGTTATATATTTAATCATTTTCACACTTATAATACTTTTCTGTTTATTTCTTTAAACAGTCTATCTCTAGAAAAATAACGGTTTAGAAATGAGGTGCTTTCTTAGAAGGGCCGGTTTAATGTGTCCCCCACATGCCACTGTCCCTAAACACGTCACACGCCGCGCAGACGGGCGACGTTAATTGTCGGCCTATTCCACAGGTTTTATCAGCTAAAAATTAAATCTATTAAAGTACCTAACATATATACCACAAATCCTATCTATAACTATTAACCCTTATCCCTAGTTACTAACTACTAGCCTTAACTACTAACCCTTAATTAGTACTCTAAAAAAAGAGAAAATAAAAGCTTAAATTTTAATAATTTTTAAAGTTCTTTATATTTATTATATAGAAATATATTATTTAAGATTATAGCTTATCTTTATCTTAATAAGCTCTTACTTATACCTAAGTTATTTTTAATTAGTTATATATAGATTTTTTTTAAAACCTTTTAGCTAATAAAACCTATCAAATAGTCTAATAATTGATAAGGCTCCGCGTAGACACTTTCGCCTGAACGAGGCTGACAGACATTTAGTCTATTTATTAGCTTGCCTAGCTGTCGAGCCGTCGGGTTGAACACGATCGCTGACCAAGTTGCACCCGACAAGTGGCGCTTCTCAACTGGCCGAACTCGGCACTTGGTCAATCAAATCGTCAAACATTGGCTGCAGGATCTAATGTGTGATCTCTGCACTATTCTTACGATTTGTAGTGCGCGGCAGATTCGGCAGACAGAAGAAGATCAAATTCGGCGGGAGATAGTGCAAATCGATTCGCATTGTGAAGGGGACAGTACTTATTTAGCTACAATGTACCCTGGCGGGTCTGCATTTGGCTGGGAAAATTTTCTACCTCCACAGCTATTTGTCTTCGGCACATCGTAGAGACAACGAAAAGTCATGGCATCTTGCAAAGCATGCGAGGAGCCTCTTGTGCTTCGTGTGGCTGCTAGTGAAGACGACGTGGGGGGTGTCGGGACCATCGATATTCCAGATGATGTCAGACTTCCATGCCGTTGTCATTACCACTGGTAGGGTTAACAGCATATTCAGGGATTTCGGTGTCAGTTAAATGTATTTGGTAGCTAATATCGCTTAGGCAGTGCCTCATGGATAGCGCTTCTTCGGTAGTATCCAGCTTACAGTGCCCTTCGTGCGGAAAGGATATATCGAGCTCGGCCGCATCTACAACTAGCAGTTCTAGTGCAAAGGACATTCATGCTATTCTTGTACGGTACATAAATGAGGGCGGTGTGCAGGATTGTTTGGATATTTCGCCATCGATGAGAGAGGAGGCATATTTGGAGGCGCACCCCGAAGCTGCTCCAGCGAGAGCCTTCCATGTGATGTGTGCAGAGGGCGATATCGACGGTCTCGTCGAGCTGCTGTATCACTCGGACGACCAAGTCCCTGACATCGGTTCACTGATTCGATATCAGGACCCTTTATCCGAGATGAAAAGTGGACTTCATTTGGCCGTCGAAAACCGGCAAGAGGGTGTCGCGTGGCTGCTACTGTGGCTTTCGTCTTCGCTGCCTTCAGATGTTTTTCCCTTCGAGGCAAGGCAAAGCGTTGAGTCTGTCGGTCTTAGACGACTTGAGGTCGGTAAACGCACTGATATCCGGGGCATCTTGGACAGTAAAGGACGCACTGCTGCTGTTCTATCTGTACAGCTGGGTAGCCCGCATTTGAAGCTCGCCGATTTGGGTTTGTTGGCGCTATAAGTTGGCGAGGGATCTACCGTGATGCAGCCTAATCGCAGCCTGGCATCAACGGACACCACACAGGCCAATGTATAAGAGAGGATAGATTAACGACAACTTCCACCCAAAGAGACGGAAAATGTATACACATCGGGCGAGTATTGTGTGAAATGTAAATACTGTCAACAACCACCTGTTGTTAATCGTGACCGATGGCTGCAGGGTACCTCGGCACGCCGAGCTGTTACCGGCCGTCACAATACAAAGAACTACCCTACCAGATAGCTTGGCCTGCAAGCTTCCATACCTATTGCATGATCGTATTTACAACAAGATTGAGGTGGCCGGAGAACTCCAATAATCAAGTGACTAAAGAAGGCCTACATCATCTCTCGCCGTCACAGCTACATGTCGAGATTACGTACGTACAGTGGGTTGACAAAAATTCCGTACGGTTTACCATACAAATTGGCTATCAAACCGTACGGAATTTATGTCTCCCCACTGTACCAGGCATGAGATTGTCTTGTTTCCGCTAGGACGGATTGCCCCACTGAAGGTAAATCCATCTCACAGGTCACCCTGTTGCGTCACCAGCCTTGCATTGCACGAAAGGAACTGGCCGGATACCTGAAACAAGCCTTCAGACCCCCGAATCGAAGCTCGGGTTACAAAGACAACGGTGGCACTGTGCAGTGGAAAGTCGGGGCTTCGGCCGGGACTTCTCATCAGACAGCTTGTCCCCCAACGTGCAGCCAGCTCACCGCGGCGGCGAATCATGGGTACACAAGACGAAGGAGCGCTCAATGGCAAGCCAAAAAGCGAAGAATATCAGGAAACCCCATACTGGAGCTCGGCTCTGAGCTCCATCGGAATTTGGAACACTGCCAAACCTTCCGCAATCCAATCCGAGGAAGAGGCCGCGGAAGAAGCAAATGCGCCCAAATCCAAGACTTTGACGGATCATCTCACCACGGCATTCTACGGCCAAAGCTCGCGAAGCTACCCCAAAGAATGCCCTTTCCTCGAAGTCCAATGGTTCCATGCTGTTGATGTATGAATTACACGCGAGCGCGACATCTCGAGTACTGACACGACCACAGGTGCCAAAGAGGACCACGTTACCAGCATTCAATGTAAAGTGCGCCAGCGAGACGAAAGCGCCAGTCAAGCCCAAGAAATTCTCCGCATTCTCCACGGAAGACTCCAGAAGGATTGAACTCCAGTATCAAAGCCTCATCGAAGCCGACGAGGAGCGACGCAGTAGGAAAGGCTCGAAAGCTTCACCGCAGTGCAGTGCCAGCGACTCCACGAGCAAGGATACCTGTGTGCCAGTTAATGAAGATTTTCTGTTTGATGTAAGCATCAAACGGCGGGAGCTTTGCCCCGTCTACTGGCTGGGTCCCGTTTACGAAGGTGAGTGTAACCTGCATACTAGAAGAGCAGACAGTGCTGATGCAATTAATGTAAGTTCGCCGGGGCACCTGGTTTTTCCAAGATGGCTCTAGCTTACGACCATGCGAAGAAAATCTCGCTGCGCAGTTGGAGGAAGTGAGTACACAGCAAAGAGCAGCATGTTATTCTACTGACATTGCGAAGGGGTACCTGAAAATGAAAGCATGGTCAAAACCAGGTGAGCTTCGTATACAACGTAAAGATTGAAAAATCATACTGACCACTCCAACACAGAGAAGAGAGTCAAATCAAAGCAGGATAGTGTCTGCTCAACAGCTAGAGAAAATGGAGTACCTGTCGTAGTGGCAGGTAGTAGTGGGCCAGAAGTAGAGGCGAAGCAGGTTAAGCTAAAATCTCATCGCCTCTTCGGAACCTACATGAACAACACGGTAACATATGAAGATTCTAGCACCGCCTGGCTAGTATCAGATGGTGTCTTGTCCTGGGTGGCGACATCTATCTATGAGCGCTTTGCAGGGGGGGGGCACATGAGCGGTGTCAAGTTGATCAGAGGCTATACAGACCAGAACAAAGCCAGAGAAAAGGAGAAGAGCGACAAGAAAAATCCGCCGACTGGTACTGACAATCACAAAGCAGCCGCACATTTACCACGCAGCGCAGATGCGGCCGCAACTAGCCAAACATCTACCGCAGCTGCGGCGCTGACCGGCAAAGCCATGCTCCAAAGGAGGCTCTCGACCATTATCGAAAGTAAAGATCGCCGCATCGCAACGAGCAGCAATGACGTGCAGAAGCTGAACGAGGAAGAAATGCGTCATGATTACTCAACTCTGAGTGGAGAGTCGCAGAACCGAGACATTGAGCATCTGGTGCTGGTCGCGCATGGAATCGGGCAGCGATTGAGTCTACGGTATGGGAGAGGAGTCCCGAGTAGAATGACATTGAGCTGATGAATATGAAAGGACACAGAGCGTAAATTTCATCCACGATGTTAACGTTCTGCGTAAGACTTTGAAGAGCGTATACACGAACTCACCCGAGCTTCGATCCATGAATATCGATGAAGGGGACGGTCCAGGCAATTGTCGCATGCAGGTTTTGCCAATATGCTGGCGCCACAAAGTTGATTTTCCAAGAGGAAGGAAGAGGAAAACGCAAACCGACGAAACAGATGTTGCTGAGGCCCATGACGAGGAAGAAATGTGTACGTAAGACCTTTTCGCACCGACGACATCGATTATCTAAACCGGCCATATGCAGATCCAACGCTAGAAGACATCACAATAGATGGCGTTTCGTTTGCCCGAACGCTCATCTCCGACTTGGCTCTCGATGTTCTTCTTTACCAGAGCTCGTACAGAGGCGAGATTGCGCAGACCGTGATCGAGGAGTCGAACCGGATCGTCAACCTATTTCGGCAACGAAATCCGGAATTCAAAGGCAAAATACACCTTGTTGGCCACTCTCTGGGCTCTGCGATACTGTTTGACATCCTTTGCCATGAAAACAGGCAGCGTCGCCGCGATTCGAAGCCAAACCCTTTGCGTTTTTTGCCTCACCGTGGCTCCACGCGATTCGAGACGAACGATACGCTAGATTTCGACGTGGAAGATTTCTACTGTCTAGGGTCTCCAATTGGCTTGTTTCAAATGCTCAAGGGCAGGTATGTATAACCAGACCTTACGCAGAGCACACCTAACACTGACACAGGACTATCGCCGCACGCCAGTCCGAACGGAACGTTTCCAGAGTAGGCTTGACCAGGGCCGTGGATTCGGGAAGCACGAATGATGGCTTTATAGCTGATGCCAGTTCCGGCTGCGCCGTTTCGCGCCCAGATGCTCAGCAGCTGTTCAACATATTTTATCCCTCCGACCCAATCAGCTATCGCCTGGAGCCTCTGGTTGCGTCTTGCATGGCTTCTCTGAAACCACATAACCTTCCCTATACCAAAAAGGGTATATTTGGAGTGGTAGGGTCGCAGGGACTGACTGGAATCGGGACCAAAGTCAGTGGCCTCTTTTCCAGTTTGAGCACCGGGCTCTCAACCAATTTGCTGCCCTCTTCACTTCGGATTACCAGCGAAGAGGCGCAGGTAATGATGGGAGAAGATAAATCCCCGGAGACCTCTGCTGTGTCAACACCGAAGGAAACTAAAATGAGGGGAAAAGATACGGTCAGCGATAGCCAGGGTAAAGAGAATGAGGAGGCAATCCTGGCCAACCAGAGCAGTCAAATCTTTACACTATACTCACGATTCCAGATGAGTGATGAGCGCAGCGAAGAAGTCCCAAAAGACGCCGATGCTGACGGCAAGGACCACAATACCCAGAAACAGCGGACGGCCCAGAGGAAAGTCTGGGCACTCAATCAAAATGGACGCGTCGACTTCAGCATACAAGAGTAAGCGATGCCCGGAGGTTTCTGCGTGGCGAAACTGACGACCATAGGGGAGCTTTGGACTTCAACCCGATTAGCACTATTGCTTCGCACATCGGATACTGGGGCGAGGAGGATGTAAGCCACTTCATGCTGTCTCAAGTCCTGTCGCGGGCAGAAAAGCAAGCTAGTGAAAAGCCGGATTAATATCTCTTGTATGGAGGCTGTTGACAGTCCAGAGCGCGCCCATTCAACTGCTATCCAGTGCGCATAGGTGACTCAAGTCAGATATTCAGGTCCGTAGCACCATATTTGCGACCCCGGAACTTGCAGGTAATCCATCACGTTGACCACCACTTTGTACTGTCGGTACACGTGATGATCAAAACTATTACAATCACAGAGAGGAAGGCAGTATACAAACAGGTAACTAATACACCTAGGCTCTATAGTACAGTAGTAAAAAATATTATTAGATATATATTAATTATTATATTATGATAATTATAATATTATTTTAATGAAACTAGTTTATTTATTTTATATTTTTATTATTTATAAATATAAGAAAAACTAATGTCTTTAAAGGAAAATCTATACTTTTTATTACTTTTAGTTCTATATCTATTTTTAATAAAGGCTAAGGCTATAATTCCGAGAATTAGTCTCAGGCAAAGTCTCTAACACTTTTTCATAAAACCTAAGAATTTTTACATAAAGACAGAGTACCCCTATTATTAAGGTACTATACTAGTAGGGGCCCTAGTAGAAGATATTGCTTACCTACTAATTACTTAAAGGAGCCTTGATTTCTCGCTTTTTACGGGTTTTCTCTATTTATTAACTATAATCCTAGATCTATTAAGTAATTTATAGTATTACTTATAACTTAATAAATTCACTAACTATATAATTCCTTTAATTATATATTATAAATTATAAAAAAAATATTAATTATTAAGTTAATATTCTAGTAATCTCTAATTAATTCTATATTAATTAAGGATAACCTTAGGTATATTAGGATATAGTATCCCTAAGTACGTAGGACTAAACTTCGTGTATTTTAGTGTCTTACGAGCCCTCTACTAAGGCAGCCCTAGCCCTAGCGATAGAGGCCCTAGCCGCCGCTTCGGCTTCAGCTTCGAGCTACTTAGCGATGGAGGGCTTCGTAAGGTTAATAAGCACGTTAATTTCGTCGCGATAGCTTCATAATTACGTATATAGTTGCGAATTTAATTAGTGGTAAAATACCTATATAAGGTAGGTAAGGGATAGACACGTTTACGTGTGTTTTTAGTATAAATTAGGCCCCTCTGCGTCCGCGCGCGACACACCCATAACAAACCCACTATAAAGCCACGAATTAGTTGACAATTCCTAAATTCTGGTTGACAATTAGAAAAAACCCTTTTTACGTGAGAATTCGTGAGAAAAAGTCCTGGCTAACTTAGCCAGGACTTACTCTCTAAGAGTATACAAAGCCGTTGTCTCCACCTATAGTGGGTCTGAGTAATTCCGCTTATAAAATACTAGAATTATATACTAGTACTAAATGACATTATATAGAAAAATAATACTTCTTCTTATAACCTATATTATAACTACTATAATACCTAGAATTACCTAAAATCCTAACTATAGTCTTTATAAAAAGGAAGGGTATAGTAATTATATTTAATTAGTTTTTCTTATAAAGATATAGCTTAATATAAATATATTCCTAAAAGTAGTATTTTTAGTATTATAATATATTATAAATACTAAATTAGAGGTTAAAATTTACTATATTTAAGTACCTTAAAGAAGATATTAGAATATAATAAAAGATATATTATTTAAATTATTAATAATAACTTTTTCATTTAAAATAAAAAACTTATTTAATAAGCTTATTTATATTCTTTTATATTAACTTTAATAATCTTTACTATAAGAGTCTAAGATATATCTATATTTTACTTAACTATAAGATAAAACTATAAATAACTTATTTTTAAAGTAAATAAATTAAAGCCTAATAATATAATAAGACTAGATTAAGTTAGTCTTAATATATTAGTATAGTAAATATACTAAAAATATTAAGAATATAATTAAAAAAGGTTATAAGACTATATAACTACCTATTAAGGGTAATATAACTATAAGCTAGCTATAACTTAAATATATTAAAAAACTAAAAAAAGAACTTCTCTTTTTTATATTAGAAATATCTTAGGATAAGGTAAAGTCTCCTTTATAGTAAATTAGCTAAGTATAATAGTAAGTTAAGTATATATTACTTATAACCCTTTTCTTAAATATAAAGAAAATTATTATAAAAACTTTATTATAATTAGGTAATTCTTAATAGGTATTATATATTATAATAGTAGCTTAGGGCTAAGTAAATTCTCTAATAAAACTAGTATTTATATATTATAAATATAAAGTAATTATTAATTATTAAAGTTATAATAACTAATATAGTTAATAAATAAGTAATATAAATAAATAAATAATATACCTTTACTACCTCTATAGTATAGTGGTTCTATACTAGGGAGTTCTATATAGGTTAGTATATGGATCGCGGGTTTAAATCCCGCTAGAGGCACCTCTTTTTAATTCCTTACCTAGTCTCCTAAAAGCCTAGTATACTAAAAGCAAGTAACACTATAAGGGATTAAACCCAAGCAAGGCACGAAGAGGGGTAACCACAGGTCTAGGTTAGTAAAAAATTATTATTAGGTATACACTAACTACTATACTATAATAGCTATTATAGTAATAATATAAAATTATATATAACTATTATAAGTAAAAAGAGTTAGGGACTTAGGGGGACTTAGATTATATATAGTAGAAGGGTAAAATTAATATATCTAGTAGTATAAGTAACCTAGGAATAAGTAAAATTAGTATATATATATATATTAAAGGTCTTAGTCTAGGGAATTAATACTAGAAGGTAGTTATAATAACTATTACTTATATTAGGGATTATAATATTAATATAGAAAGGAGTAGAGTATAGGTTTTTACCTAGGTGTAACAAACCGTTGTAGCGGCACTGCTCTGCGCTATATATACTGCTATTACGCCTTCGTTGATTGCTAGAACTGCTTTCAATGACCTGATCTTTTGCCCTATGGTCTGACGGTATAGGCGTACGTCACACTAGGTTAGGTATAGGCTAGGGGTAGTAAGGCCCTAAGGCGGCTAGATAACGGTTTTTCCTATACTATTAAATTATTAAGGTACCTAATATCCTATATAAGGGTAGTAAGAGTAAACTAATAATAATAATAATATACCTTTACTAACCTATTACCCCTTTAACTATTAATGATTTACTAAATTTT